TTCCAGCTCAACAAGCTTATCAGGAAATCCATTCCAAACGCCGACCTCCAACGTCCATTCAACATGGTTGCGAGGAGTGGCCAAGGCTCGATGCCTTCATGATCATTGATCCTCACTAAAGAATGGGTGGGAAGAGACAGGATGACGGGGAATCTGAAGCAGTCAAGAATGGAGGTGGTGATGCAATTGATCCCAGTCGAGTACTTCTAGCTCCCATGGTCCGAGGATCAGAGCTAGCTTTTCGGCAGTTGGTTCGGCAGTACGGAGTCACTGTTTGTTACAGTCCCATGCTGCGAGCGGCAGAAATCATCAAGGCGTATGACTATTACAAAAGCAAAACAAGCAAGAAACGTCAAGATATTGACAAAGAAGAAGACCAAGAAGAAGAAGTTGTTCTCCATGAAGATGGCTGGTTGTTACTAAATGACATTCTGGTAGATCCACATCCAGTGGTGGTACAGCTCTGTGGCAATTCTCCCTCCAACCTGCAACAAGCCACACAAGTTCTACTCGAACTCAACCAACACCATGGTTGTCAAATAGTGGGGATTGACTTGAACTTGGGTTGTCCACAAGACTGTGCGAAACGAGGGGGTTTTGGAGCCTTTTTGGCCGAGGACAATCCACAGAAAGCATGTGAATGTGTCAGCGCCATGAGAGAAACAATACAACAATATACTTCTACTACATGCAATACTACTAGACCCAGACTCTCTTGTAAAATTCGACTCCAACAAGACTCTGTCCAAACCGTGCAGTTGGCACAATCACTGGCACACGCGGGGTGTCAATTGCTGACCATTCACTGCCGCCAACGGACCGACAAGCACGACGGGATACCCAATCTGCAAGTGGCTCGTGATGTGGTACACGCCCTAAAGGAGGATAGTATTAGTATGCCCATTGTCTTGAATGGCTGGCACTGGAAAGATGTACCGCATGCCTTGGCATCCACTGGAGCGTACGGGGTCATGTTGGCACGCGACTTTTTGAGAAATCCACGGCTCCTGCAGCCACAACAACATGCCAACAATTACTATCCTGGTCAATTGGCCGCCGAGTACTTGGAATTTGCAAAGCGGCATCCACCACCGTCGCCCCTGTACATGAAGTTGCATCTACGATGGATCTTTCGTGCGGCTCTGGAACCACGCGACAAAACAATACACCCCGCAATCCTCTATGCCAATAACAACTGGAAACCACGTCTATGGACCTTCTTGGCACGACCCTATCTTACCTGTCTCGAACAGTTTCGACAAGTCGTCTTTTTGTACTTTTATCATTCCTGGCATGATGACAATGAAACGAAAGAGGACGACCAAACCTTGTTGCAAGCGGCAGTTCCTGTGTCACTTCAGGATTTGGCTATACAGCATGAACAGCAACAACCCATCACATTTCGTACTATTCGGTACCACTACAACCGTTAACACAGTTCCGCTACGGCAATGAGGTTCAAGGCCAGAAGTGGATTCATTGGGTCCGTCTTTTCTCTGTTTTTCTTTTTGTCCATCGGTGACAAGCAAGAAGAAATTCTCTCTTTTGTTCATGTTGCCGAATGAAACAAGAGTGTGTTGCTGCAGCTACTACCTATGCAAAGCCGAAGGAAAACCCATTTGAACCGAGCCCCAAAATGTTTCAATGGCATTCCTTGGTAATAAGATACCGATGCCTTATGCATCGTCGTACGAAGGTTTTTTGGAGAGCTGAGTCACGGATCCTTGAGGGATCCTCCAAGATCCACCAAGATCCATCTACGCGTGACTCACGTGTCATTAAATAAATTCTTAATAGGAGAGGCACGAATGACCAAAGATCCACCTCTCTCTGGCCACAGCAACTCTTCCCACATCCCAAAAAGAGACAAACTAAAGCAACACCAGTACCATTTGACTGCAAACCATGTCGCCCCTGACCGACAATCAATGGTGGAGCGAGTTCCTTAAGAATGGGGACGTGACTGACGAGACTTTCACTGCTGAACAACTTGCTTTGTTTGAAACCTACCAATTGTCGCAAGATCAGAAGCGTATTTTCCAATGCGTCAAGACGGGAAAGAATCTCTTTCTCTCCGACCTCATTACGGACGAAGAGATCATTTGGAGCATTGGTGTCATGGGCGTGAACAACGCACATCGCGGAGATATGAAATTCTACCGAAAAAGCGTCGTGGAGCGACTGCAGAGGTATGACCAGGCCGAGCAACTCTACAAATGGCACAGCGGAGAGTGGACCGAGGAGGCCCTGCGCGTCTTGATCGGGCAATGGACGTTGGGAATGATGGTGGCGGTTCCTGGAATTGAGAGCTCGGATGGTAGCCCCATGATCTTCACCAAGGAATGGTATGAACATTTGCCATTGCGTGAGGAACTCCCCGAAGGTTTTTGGGACTATAGAGCAACGACAGTCTACCCACTCATGGCGAGGAGTATCTGCCGTGCCTACCCAATGGCAACCATGAAAGGTCTCGTTTCTTTGGCCGATATGACAGACTTTGATTGGGACAAATATGATATGGATCAAAAAATGCGTCACTCCAATATTCAAGCTGTCATTCCCAACAAGCTGCGCCGAATGATCAGCGTCAACGCAGACGAGAAAATGAAGAATCAACTGGAAGATTTCAAAGCCGTTGCCAAAAAGTATGGGTTTGTTATGTATGATACGTTGGATGAAGCAGTAATTGGTGAGACAGAGTTGCTGCCTCCTGAGTTGCCCACTTGGGTGGGAGGTTCGCTTCAGGTGGACATCAGGAAATGCCTTCAACATCTGTTCCACCGCGAACCAGAAGCTCTCAAGCTCATGGAAGAAGTGTACAAGGAAATGGAAGAGAGTGGTGAAATTCTTCGTCCAAAATTCATGCAGGAATCACAGAAGTGAGTAAGCCGAACCACTACTCCATTAGAACAATCTGCACTTGTCCCGCAGGCAATGCCAAAAGCCAAAAACTATGTGAAAACCCTCAGCACGTACCAGCCGCACAACATCGTCTTTGGAAGGAGCTTCCGCAGTGCGGCGGCTTATGCGCCTGATGAGTTGGGTGGTCCTGATCTTGTGTGTATAGTGAAGTGCCTGGTATGTTAAGTTAATGATGATAAGGGCTCTAATGATGCTTCTAGTTCGTGCGTGTTTGAATTCCTCGGGTTGGGGGCGGTGGAGGTGCTTTGGTGGCTGGAAAGGAAGAAGGACCACCACGTTGGTTGCTTTTTGGTGACTTGGAAGGCACCATTGGCATGGACCCCCGCAAGCAATGCGAATGCAGGCCACTCAGCAGCGGTGGGACCAGACCCCGGAAAAGACCAATAACCAAGTGGCCCCGAGGTACGAAGGCCAGCAACAGTCCACTCAGCAGCAGTGGGACCAGACCCCGGCAAAGACCAATAACCAAGTGGCCCCGAGGTACGAAGGCCAGCAACAGTAAGGAGTCGCCGCAATTGCGGTGAACGGGGTGGCACAGCGGCCTATTACTTGACTTGAACGAAAGTTGCTTCGACGTAAAAGCTGTAGTCACGAACAGATACATAAAGCAACTACAGCTTTCTTGAAAGACTCGCACTTGTATACATGTATTCCATTACTCTTTAATTCCGCTACACTTCCCATCATCCTTTGTTTCGTGCTTGTATGTATGCCACCTTTCTTCATTGTTGCCTCGAAGAACGACCTCAACTAGGTAGCTAGTTGCTCGGTTCGCTCCAACCACAGCAGTCCAGGAATACACCATCAATCGTGGGGCAACAATCTCCCTCCAAGCCACTGCTGTCACAGACAGTATTGGCGGAGCAGGAAGCTGCCGTGGGAGGAGAATAGCAACAAGCAAGGTTCACACCATCAATCGTTGGACAACATTCACCAGCCAGTCCCAACTCGTTACACTTGGGATTATCCGTACAGAAAGGTCCTCCAATGATAATCGGGCCGCCTCCTCCATTATCATTGCGATCATCGTAAGACGTCGGAGCCAACGATGGCACGGTGCTGGGACCATCAGCTGGTGATTCGGAAGGAGAATCACTTGGCTTGTCAGAAGGCGAAGACGAAGGCACCGTGCTGGGAGAAACACTGGGGCCGCGGCTTGGGGTGCTGGATGGAGCCGACGATGGCGTTCCGCTGGGAGCGGACGATGGGCTTGAAGATGGTACATCGATAGTTTCGTAGCAAAGGACAATGTAGGCGTCGTTGTGTGGGCAAAACATACCGACTTCATGGCTAGCATCAAGGGTAAAGGTCACGACCCCATCGCTCAACCATGTATTGAAAGTAACCTGACTGACAGTGAAAGTGCTGGACTGGAATGTGTTGGAGCATTCTACATCTGGATATAGAGTTCCAATCAGGTTATTCTCTTCGCTGTATGCTTCCAGGATCTCGGTTGTTTGTCCATAGTCACCTCGAGCGTGCACCTCGATGTAGACAGTACCACCAAATGCAGGAAGCAAACCGGTCATGTTGAAAACCATGGACCCCTGGTTTTGCACGTTGACACAAGGAAAGACGTGTCAGGAATTCTCAAGCAAAATCAAACCCGACGTATTGTACTTGAAGGATACTTACAGAATGAGGAAGGGACTGCACACTAGAGGCGTACACCGAAGCTGTGATGGGACACGTAGGCGGCCGAGAAACAGTGGGCGCAGGAGTATCACTTGAAGGCGCCACCGATGGTGAGACTGAAGGGTTGGCACTAGGGGCGATGCTTGGAGTTGCTGATGGTGGTGACGAGGGCAGTGCATCCAATGCCGGCTGGTGGTCACAACAATCAAGTTCGATGTTATCGGGAGTAGGGCAGCAGTGCTGAAACGATTTGTAACAGTTTGAATGAACCGAGCATTCCCTGTTGCAACAGCTAAGGTACTCATAGTTGTCATTGGGGCAACATGCACCGGAGACCCGTCCCTCTGCAGCGCAGACAGGATTATCCACGCACAAGGTGCCGGCATCATTACCGAGGACTCGGTCCATGAACGACCCACGGATGTTCTGACCAGCGCATGGCGAAACCAACGAAAAGCCGAAAAGAAAACCAGTAAAAAACTTCATGGTGATGATGATGAACTTGATAGGCGGAGGCTTGTAGTGGATTGAATGATTCAATCTTCGATTTTGTGAGCCTTTGTTGTTTGCGAAACAGGGATCTGCTCAAGGTCAAAAAGTTCCGAATTTGATCCAAAATGTGAGTGGATGATCGCTGGAAGCAAACCAACCCGTTGCACATGAAAAGCTCGTGGTCTAAATCCGGACCTTTCACGACTCACAATACCTACTTTTTAGAAAGTGCACGAATTGATCGGCGAAAGCTTCATCGTGCGGTTTGGTTTTTGCCATACGGTAGGTAGCTGTTATGCTGGGCATGGTAGAGTCCGATCATGGAGCCAAACCAATCGTAGACATGTGATTGTTGAGGATGATAGTCAGTAGCAGCCTGATACGGTATCACTGGGCCAATTACCTGGAGACAGATAAACATGGCAACTGAGCGACAAGAAGCTCTTGGTAGCGATCGTTACCGGAACACTTTGATGTGCGTTAGGACCTTCAGATAGTTCACCGGCTAGAAACGACGTCCCTTGGTCCAAACTGCCAACCCCACCGAGCGAACTGGACGGCCAAAGCACATGTTCCGTACACGCCGTGGCTCGCGAGAAACGGCGGCTTATCGTCGCTACAAAAAGCCAAGAGTTTGCTCGCCGTGATGTGCAGGCTGGGATACCTACCGAACATAGTACGTACAAGCAGGCTAGCTAGTGGGTGAACGAAGGAATCATTTCCGCCGCCTTGGCTTTGTGTCTGCCTGTCTATTGGTGTACTTCTTCTTCGCGCTATGTAAATCGTTTGTCTGTTTGTTTGCCTCCAAGCGTTGCCACAAAATCCCAGTATGGTAGTTCGTTCATCCCAGTTTGTTGTACGGTAGCCATGCCTAACTAGTCTAACCAAAATGAAATCCTCCGCCTCCTCCACGTCCACCACCCATTTGTTGTTGCATAAACATTTGAAATAGCATTTCTTGATCCATCCCACCAAAACCACCACCACCATGTCCATGATGATGTCCTCCCGGCGTAGCATGAGGATCATCAATATCCTGCTCATCGACTCCTTCATCGTATCGTTGTCGTTTGGCCGGATCACTGAGAATTTCGTGCGCGAGATTGACTTGACGAAATTTGGCTTCGGCTTCTTCCTTTTCCTTTTCGGTAGCATTGGTTTGTCGATCGGGATGCAATTTGAGTGCGAGTTTGCGATATGCCTTTTTGATTTCATTATCCGTGGCATCCCGATTGACCCCGAGCATCTTGTACAAGTCGGTTTTTCCAGCTCGTTTGGCTTGAATTTTGGCCGATCGTAATTTGGTGCGAATGTCGCGTTCTTCTTCTTCGGTGGTCACCAAATCCATTGCCTTTTCGTAGTCTCGAATGGCTTGTTCGCATTCCGGTTTGCCACCAATGAGCAGATTGGAAGCGGCCCGTCGCAACAATGCCTTGGTGTACTCGGGATTAATCTTTAGTGCGGCGGTACAATCGGCGACGCAGTCTTTGTGATTTCGTAGAGCATTGTGACAAGCAGCTCGATTAAAGTGTAATTTGGACAAGAATGACTCGTTTGCCGATGGACAAGTCTCAATGGCGCTTGTGTATTTTTCGACGGCGGATTCGTAATTGCGTGCCTTGTATGCCTCGTCGGCAGCTTCTTTTTGTTTTTTCAATTGTCGTATCAATTTGACGAGGGCGAATGCTTCTTTATTGTCGGGATCTCCGGCTAGAATTTGTTTCAAGTGTTTCATGGCATCATCCTGTTGTCCCTGATAAAAGAGACAGGTGGCACGAGCATACAAGAGCGTCGCCGACGAAGCATTGCCTCCATCCGCGTTGCGTCGTAGTAATTTGGTAGAAAGTGCATACGCTTGATCGATATTGTTGGGTCCTCCCACGGCGACTTTGGCTCGCAATTGCAGCAATTGCGCATCGTACCAATTGGGTGCTTGGGCCAGTACGACTTCCACCTGCATGAGTGCTTGTCGCGCATTTTTCTTATTGCCGTTTGGGCCAGTGCTCTTGTCTAGTAATTCTTTGGTAAGATCATATCGTTGCTGTAATTTCTTGACATCTTCCTTTTCTTTGAGTGCCTTGGAATCATTGGGATCGTGGACTAGTCCCATCGAATAGGCTCGTACCGCTTCGTCCAGGCGACCCAATGTGGTCAATATTTTGCCCTTGCGCCAATGCGCCTTCAAAAATTTGGCATCGGCTTGAATGGCCGCATTGCAATCTTCGAGTGCCTTGTCGTACATTAGCAGCATGGTACGGGCAGCGGCACGATTCGAGTAGACGGCAGCCAGCTGACTGGGTTCCACGGCAGGTTTGGTAGCAGTAGCAGCGTCAATGGCGAGGGTATAATGCTCAATGGCGTCCTTGTACTCCTTCTTCTTGTACGCGTTGTTGCCATTCTCTTTGTGATCCGAAAAGGAAATCCCATTATCTTCTTCGTCCTCCTCAATCATGGGGTCATCGTCATTGTCCGCCGAAGGACTCATAGTTCACTGATAATACTCGATAAAAAATAACTGGATGCTACCCTTGCTACCCTTGCTACTGGTAATATAGGATAATGAAATAGGTAGATAATGGGGATAATCCACGAGATAACAACCTCTTGGGCCAACAAACTCAAGTAGCGGCAGACAAGCTTCAAATACAACAGCCAATGAATTGCAACACGGCAACGAATGAGAAGACGTGGACCAAGAAAATGACAGATCCTTGCTGAACCGAAAGGAATTGGCCGTTGTTGTTGTTTCGCATCGATGGTGGGAGATGAGTCCCGGGTTTTAGTATATCCGGGATTTACTGTACAAAGGCTTCTTTTGCATTGATGACTTCTTAGCTGCCTCTATCTTGTAGCAATCAAAATAGCTTACGTGGTCTTTTCCAGAAAGAACGCTTTCTTTGGTCTACTTTCTCCCTTTCAGATTAGATACTACCAGTGTTCCAGCTGTAGTAGCCCACCTGGCACAGGAGCACGGGAGTATGCTTCTCATCAAAAGCACAGTCATCTACACTAAACTTAGCCAGATAGCTAGCTAGATCTTTGCTCCTTTTAACCAAACAACAGTGTAGATAATGCTGTTTCTTTCAACTTCTACCAGGAAATTAGTACTATGAGATAATTCCATTCTACCGTACCAGTATTTTGCCCTTTCATCCTTTCATACAATTTCAGCAAAGAGAGACTAATTTAAGTCAGTGTACAGTTAGTTAGCTCGAATCTCCAATGACTTTTGGTTGGATCTGTGGTTACTCCATAGCTTGACTCTTTTGTCTAAAGAACTGACTCATCAGCGCTGGGCTATCTTTTCTAATGCACTTATGAAACTTAGCCTTGTGCTTGCCAGCACCATAGACTTCGTTGTATTTGGCCCTTTCAAGTCATGCCTACTAGCTAGGTACCTTTTGAGAGGCAATCCTTTTCGCCATTTGGACTAGCGTATAAAATACTGGGGTTGATCAACGCTATGACAAAAATAACAACTACTAATCTTTGTGACAAACAAACAAACGCTATGAAATGCTCAATGGAAGAGATAATACCACTGGCTGAGTATTTCATCCCTGGCTACCACCCACAAAAGAGAATATTTGGCCCATGTATCTTATAATAAAGGTATTCGATTAGTGGTACCACTACAAATTTGTAGATAGTGGTGGTAGAGAATGCCTTCTCAATCACAAAATAAATATCATTCCAAGGCACCGGTTTGCGTGTCAAAGACCAGTACGAGTACCAGGTCCCACTACGTTCACCGTAGCCGTTGGTATGATGCCTTGGATGGTGGTACCGGAGAGGTAGTAACAGAAGACTAACCACCAACCTTCCTTTCATCAGTTAGTTAGTCCAGTTGACAGTCGCACCTGTTGTCCCATTCGCTTCACTACACAAGTTTCATCTATCTATCTCTTGCTACAGGTACAGGTAGCTAATAGTGGGTGGCGATGAGCCAACGGCGACGCTCGTCTCTGTTTCCTTGGGCAGAAGCCAAGGCGATTCCGGTTTCCAAATGGGGTATATCCAAGTCTCATTTCATCGAGTTTGTCAATGAAGTCAACTCGTACCAGAAGAAGGGACTCATCAAGAACGATCATCTGCCATACCCTCTTCCCAGTGATGATGCCGGAGATTTGTTTGACAAACAGGGCAATGAACGAATAGTCGACTTTGTTCCCAAGACGTACCAATACAGTGATATCAAGTTCAATGACCCCAACATTGGACCCACCATCTTTCAGATCACAGAGCAGATTGTAAAGCCGCTCGTCGAAAACAACGGCACTCTTCCCGGGCTCAGTGGCGCAGCATCGCATCCGGAAGCGATCAAAGCACGTCGGAAAACCATTGCCGCCATTGGAGATGGATTTGGTCTCACCAGTACCACAGCAGCAGCAGCAGCAACAACCGCAACAAACACGACAAAGAGATCCTCTACCGGTACTAGTTTATCCGAAGCCCTGCCCAAATCCAGTTGGGCGTTGCTCAAGAATCCCAGTGGCTTGGATATCGATCTATTTGTGGCTCATTCCTGGGCCGCCGGAATCTACGAATTTGCCAGTCACTTGCTCAAAGAATGGCCCGATGATTGCAACGGTGCCTACATTTGCTTTCTCTCCAATCCACCCAATCTGGACAGGAAACTATACAGCGCCAGTGGAAATCTACAAGATAACATCTTTTACAAGGTACTACAAATCAAGCAAATGAAACAAATGGTCATGATATCCACACAGAATGCACCCATCCACAGACGTGCTTGGTGCTGCTTTGAAGCCTACGTGGCCATGAAACAGGGGCTTCCCATTACCATTGGGGGAGACAAAAAATACCTCTCCGCCATGCGCAAACGAGTGCGAGACTGCAAGAAAACAAACAAACAACTCGAACGACACACACAGCAACTCATGCAAGGAGATCATCAAGACCGATACCAACGGCACAAGGTGATTGTACAGAGCATGACCGATCTGGTCGCGCTCATTGTCGTTTGCTACGCCACCATTGCCGCCTGTTTGCTCGTGCCCATTATCCTAGTGGAAGATCGACTCCCCAGTGAATTCGTCGCACCCTTCAAGTCACTCTTCAATTTCATTTGCAACGTGGCCAGTATGATGCTATTCCCCGTCATTTACTTGTCCAAATTCTGTTGGTGGTGCATTCAATCCTGGTCACTCAAACCCGTCGATGAGACACTGCACAAGGCCGAAGCGGCAGAACACGAATTGCACGAAGTCAAGCGCAGTGCCGTCGATGTCCGGTTGGCACAAGCCAGTATGGAATTGGACAAAGCGACCATATTGCGGGTGATTGGAGAAGATGCCGATACGTTCAATGAAATGCTCACCAACTTGATCCTCAACAAGGTTACCATCTCGTACGGAACACCCATGGGAGCCGAGATTTCGTTTGTGACCAATTAGACAAAATGCATGATTGATGCACGGTGCGCAATCCTGCATTTATTTTGCGTACCGGTACGTACGTACATACCTAGATGAATACCTACCTATACCTACATTCCGTAGTGGACAACACGACGACGACAAGCAAGACAGTGGTTTTTCGGGTAGCAAGCTAATTTTACATGATAACACGTCCTTTCCCAAGAATTCATTCATTACGATATTCTATTTGTTTTGGTAGCCAGAGATTGTGTGCGAAGAACGGCTCTAATACTAAGCTAGCAACAGTAGTATTAGTTCTAGAGTTTGCCCACGAGACGTTTTAGGTGTCTTTGAACAGCCGGGAGGAAGACGATGATTACGACGCTGCTTAGCGTGTGGGTCGAGCGGAAATAGACTACGACTGTACTCGTACCAAAATAGGGGGGCCACCAAGTGTGTAACACTATCCTTAGTATGAATGCTCGCGTCTCTGCTCTGCTCTACTCTGCTCTTCCAGCCAGCCAGAAGCGCTCCTTCTGCCCCTTTCAGCTTTCAGCCTCTGGGCAGCAGCGTTAGCTAGCATTTCGGCACAATGACGAGGCAAGGTCGATACATCATATTTTCATAGCTCGTGGCCACGCAGTGCTTGGTTGGGCGTCAAAGCGTCTCGAGATCTGGACAGTACTGGCTAGCTAGTAGTACCGGTACCGCATCGAGGCTCAAGGACCCGTTTGGATCTGGCTGGTCTTTCTGTAGCGGTACCAGGTACGGTAATGTCTGGGGCGGGTTTGGAATCTTCAATCATGCATCTTCACTTTTGCTCGTCCCTTCACAGACAAGTCTCATTAAAAAGCATTCAGCCATCATGAATACACCCAACACAGAAACAAACACAACGATGCATCAAGGAGGTCTTTCCCTGGACCTCCTGGAAGCAGCCCGTTCCGCCATTGCCACCGCTATATCGAAGAAACTCGAAATCGAACCCGTCACTCGCATCCAAAAAACCATAACCCGTCCGAACAAGAAAGGATTGGGGGATTTGACATTTCGCATCGGCAATATACAAGCGGCCACGTCAGGACAGAGCAAAGAACAAGATATTGTCGAAGCCATCTTTGGCTGCTTTCAAGAGCTCCAGGATGGCCCCGAAGCCTCTGACTTTTCCAACTGTGTCGAATCCTGGTGGCAGCCAATGGATTCTCGCATTACCGTGAACCTGAAGGTGGGCGACAAAGCACAGATACATGACTGCTTTCAAGAGCTACTGGATTGTCCATTAGCCGCTGAGTTTTCCAAGTTTGTCGAGTCCTGGACGCAGCCATCCGATTCTCGAATTGATGTGAATCTGAAGATGGGCTACTCACCCGAGGTTCGAGAACTTTTTCAAGAGCTCTTGGGTTGTCCCGAAGCTTCTGACTTTTCCAGCCGTGTCAAATACTGGTCGAAGCCACCCGGTCACATTGCTGTGAACCTAAAGGTGGGATACACGGCCCAGATACTGCGGGCCATTACTCAACATGATTATTTGGCCAAGTTGACTCTGCCGCATGCCGCGCAGCAGCAAGCCATGATTGAATATTCCCAGCCAAACACCCACAAAGCTTTTCATGCGGGACATATGCGAAACGTCGCATTGGGAGATTGTCTGGTCCGGCTCAAGGAACACTGTGGCCACTCCGTCATTGCAGCCAACTACTTTGGAGATGAGGGAGCTCATGTTGCCAAGTGCCTCTGGCGACTCAAGCAGAAATTGGAAGAATCTAATTGCACGGATGTAACTGACCTGAACATTCCCCAAGAGCAGCGAGGGGAGTATCTGGGCACGTTGTATAAAGAAGCGGTCGAGCTGGTCTCTTTGGGTTCTCTGACATCGATCTCCTGTCCAGGTGCGATTGTTGCGAAAGTCTTGACGAAGCAACCGCATCCAAAGAAACCGGAATCTTGGAATGTTTGCACGTTGGAAATTGGGTCTGGAAAACCTGTCACAGTCGTTTGCGCCGGAACTGACTATGAAGCCGGCCAACTGGTAGCCTACATGGCGATTGGGAACACCTTCAAGAAGAAAGAGGTAGTCCCAACCGATATGCTGGGGGTAAAGTCGACGGGAATGATCCTCGGTTATTCCGAGGTTGGTGTGCCGAACCCAAACCCTCCCAAAGCCGAGAAACCCCAATCCAAAAAGTCCAAGAAGAAGAAGAGTGGCCAAGAGGAGGCCAGTTCAATCTGCATTGTGACGACTGATGGCGCCGCACCGGGAACGTCCCTGACTGAGCTGGGTCGGTTTCCAGACCTCAACGAGCCGTCGGACCGAACGGTGGAAGTCATTCTTGCTCGCCGACAAACACAGGTGGCGAATGTTCTTGCAGCGTTGGAATCTGGAGACCCTGAATGGTGTTCACTTTGGGACACCACAAAGCAATGGTCTCTTGACGAGTTCAAAAACATCTACGATTGGCTCGGTGCTCGATTCGATGTCGACTTTTTCGAATCGGAAGTCTCACAGCCTTCCATGCAACTGGTGCAGGAGTACTTAGATAAGGGTGAAGTCTTTCAGGAACAGCAAGGAGCGATTGGAGCAGTACTGGATGACTACAAGCTGCCCTTCCTTATGGTGGTCAAATCCAATGGATCCGGACTCTATGCCACGAAAGATCTTGCTCTGGCCAAGCGCAAGTTCGAGGAGTTCAAGATTGACGAGTCCATCTACGTCGTGGACAAGGCCCAGTCGCTGCACTTCCAGCAGGTCTTTGCAACGCTTCACAAAATGGGTTTTGCCAACGCCGACAAGTCGGTGCATCTGGCATACGGGCAAGTCGTCCGACCCGAAGGCAAAATGTCCTCGCGATCTGGAACTGTGATCTATTTTTCAGCTCTCAAAAATGCCTTGACACAAGCTATTGACGAAAAGTTCCTCAACAAATACAAGGAGGAGGGCTCGTGGACAGAAGAGCAAATCCTGGAGGCCAACCGAGCCATTGCGGTGGGGACCATCCGATACGGAATGTTGAACGTGGACCCCACCATGGATATCACGTTCGAGCTGGAGGCATGGACCGCCAAGAAGGGAAACACGGGCCCGTACTTGATGTATGCCTATGCCCGAATCAAGTCAATCCTTTCGAAAGCTACCAACATGCAGCTGGGTTCCAAGAAAGATGTTGACGTCTCTCTTCTGAGCTCGGTTCAGGACCGAAGCCTCCTGGTCCACATGACACAATTCTGGCCTGCTGTTTTGAAGTCAGCCTCCCAGTGCAAGCCCAACGAACTTTGCAAGTTCCTGTATGTGTTGGCTCAAGAATTCATGTCTTGGTATGAGGCTTCTCCCATCTTGAAGGATTATGTCCCACCAGAGCTGAAGCATGCCCGACTCCAGTTTGTGGAGGCAGTTGCGGCAGTGCTGAAGACTGGGATTGAATTGCTTGGGATGTCGGCCTTAGAACGAATGTAGATCTCAAATCACAGTTAGAAAAAACAGCACATGAATTCCCCGGGTTTGTCGTGAGCTCGTTGGGCTAGAACAGTGACAACTCCGTGTCAGACAGTTGACCCCCCGAACCTTCTCCTCGGTTCTGCGTGCTGCCTGGACCCTTGCATTCTGGCAGTCAAGTGAAAACAAAGGGAAAGGATGTAAGGCATTGAAGGATGTTATGATCCGTTCCAGTGAACTTCCTTGTATGCTGGAGAGGCTTTCAGAGCCAATCGAGGAAGTACTTAGAACACCTAGTCGCTACATACGTAGACAGCGTCTCTAGGCGAAAATTTAGGTTGATAAGGGGGGGTACATGTACACCTGTAGCTACCAAGCATCGACTGCTATGGACACCCGGCTAACTAGCAGGCAGCAGAGAAGCATCTGGCTGGATCTAGCTAGCCTCTGGAGTAGCCAAACTATCCCCTATTGGTCAATTTCTCGGGCCATTTTAGTACCCCAGCATTTTGGATGGAATCCAAAGATGCTTTGAAGATGCTGCGCACCATCATCCGTGAGAGGAATTTCAATGTATGTCATGTTGACGTGCGAAGCTGCAAATTTTCGAATCCGTTGTGTATAGTTGTTGTAAAAGTCATGCCACATGGCCTCTTCTGTTGGATCATCCGGAAATCCCACACAGTTCTCTGCCGCACTCCACCGTTCGGGCAACTTGGTGACTTTGGTCGATGTGAGCCACTCTTTGGCATCCCGTACTGCATGAAAGATTGTCGCATGCGGATAATAGTTGGCAAAGGCATCCATAAAATCTTCATCCAAGGTGGGATAGTAACATTTCCCTTGTGTCGATCGCATAAAACCCACATCGGACCAAACACGTGCATGGCCACATCCCTTGAAGACATCCTTTTTGTGATCAATTTTGAAATTTTGTTGCAAGCACTGCCCAATGGGCACATCGCGCAATGGATTGTCGGGTGTTGAATCGGAGGGTGTGGTCCACTGATGGGCAGCGGTCCAACCACCCAATCCACAGGCAAAGTATTGTTGTGCCGTGGCGGCACCGGATTTGGGCAGACTGGTGACCAATATGGGAAAGGAGATGTCCATGGGTCGTCGTGCCGATCCTGCCGCATCGGCCATTTCTCCTTTGACAGCATCTTTCCAGCACTTTTGTGGCAGTTTGAGTTCTTCTTCCAATTGTTTGGCTGTGACATCTGGATCTTCATCGAGATTGATCGATACACGGCCCCATCCTTGATGCTTCTCCACAAACTCATCCAGTTTTTGGTAATAATTGTTGTAGAATTCAATGTATTGGGCATCAGCAGTAGCGGTGGCTTTGGAGCTTTTGGGAAAGGCATCGGCATGTGTCGGATTACACCACTTTTTCCAGTGTGTTTTGAGATCTTTGGGGAGTGCATCAAGCCATAATCGTGGAAAGTATTTGTGCTGGGCCGTGACGATAATGGCTTGGGGATATGCCTTGTATAGATTTTCCAGCGCTCCTGGGAATAGGACTGGATCAAAGCATTGGTGGCTGCGTAGGATGCTTCCCTTGGTTCGAGGTGGATGAATGTACTGTAGGTCCATCCAAACGGATTGTCTCCCACACCCCTCCGTGATGGTAGAGATGGGGTTGGTGCTGGATTTGTTCATCATTTGTTCCATATTGAATTGGAGACATCGCCCGAGTGGACGTCGAGCTGCTTCACTGGGATCAGGATGAGTCCAATATCGTCCCACTTTGTTGACACCCGCACATTTAAAGTAGCGCGGCATGACCAAGTCTCCATTAAAGGGCAAACTCAACACAAAGATGGGTCTGTCATCGTCAAAGGGAAGATCGGGCAAGGCAGCAGAATCTTCCTTGTCTTCCAACGTTCCCAAATCTTTGTCTTGTTTCTTCCCAATGGGAGCTGTTGCTTTCTCACTTGTTTCACTACCAGCACTTGTGGTTGTTTCCGTTGTCGAGTCTTGTTGTTCCATCACGGAGGATTCTGTTACCTTGGGACGCAATTGTTGTGTAGTATTTTCTTCTTTACTAATACTGTCCATAGTACCAACCATTTTGTCTTGCATTTTTACAGCAACTGCGACACCCACCGCAACCAAGAGCACACAGGCCACCTTGATCGTCAACACCCGATACTGGCGGTAGCCAATGTGTTCCTTTTCCTTCTTGGGGTCGTACGACATGATCGTGATCTCAAGAAGGAACAACAGCAGAAGAAAAACGCTAAGAAGATGATTGGCTTGTACCTGCCAATGTCAACTTGATTGAGCCTCGAGTCAAGTCTGTTGGATAGCTGACTAGCTAGTACTGGGTTGTCGTTGCAATGGGCTTGCTGGGCCTCTGTTGACCTCTTGTCTCCTTGCCTCTTCTTCCTTTTTGGAAACCAAAGACAAAAACAACCGAAACAAAACAAAAAGATCTTCAAAAGATCCAAACTATTTTGGGATTATGGGAAAGATGCATCATTTGATAATCTTTAAGTACCGTCTGGCGAGTGGTCGATCTGGTGTCTACAAAGAGTTTGAGAAGTGAAGGGTACCTCCTCCTCAGTCCTGTGCCCTTGCATTCTGTATCGCAACCAAAGAGAAACATGTCAAGACCATCCAGTGCTGTGAACATCCTTGCACCCTGGAGAGGCTTTGGAGCCAATCGAGAAAGTGTATGAAACATCTAACCGCTGGGTAGGCAAAAGAGCATCCCGGCAGGTCAAAAATCTAGAAGAGCTTGACAAGCAAGATGGGGTTGCATGTGCACCTGTAGCTACCGTACCAAGCATTGTATGCCATGGACATCTCTGGCTACCTAGCTAGCAGGCAACATAGAAGCTTCTAGCAGCTAGCCTCTGGAGTAGCTACGCTAGCTAGTAGTACATGTATGAAGTTAGCTAAAAGTTGGAACCTTGTTAGTCCTAGCTGTTCTGGGGACCGGTACCAGTCGTCAAACGATGACCCTCTTTCGAAATGTGACTGCTGGGAGTTCTGATGGGTTCCTGTTCTCTATTTGTGATCTCTGATGAGGGTGTTCCTTCTGCCGAGAGATGTCTGGATCGCGAATGACGCGAAGCACTCTTCAATGAACCACCAATCACCGCTTGCCGCATCCCCAGCTATCACTGGCTTGGCCGGCACATGGCCAGCAAGCAGCAAGGGACTTTTTGCAGCTGCGATAAACAAAAATAATGGGAGGTGAGGTACTAATTTAACACAAAAATCAAATATTTAACTCAACTCACTGTAACATCAAGACTGACAAAGTTCCAGCCACCTCCAACCATCTCACAAAAGCCCTCCACAACCCATGCTCACGATAACGTTATCTGGCTAGCTAGTAGTAGCACCTACCACAAACGACAATGAAGAAGATGCAATGGCCACGGCGTAGGTCACTGGCGCAGAGGAGGAGGTCCTCCACTAGTCTTACCGAAGCTAGCTTTGAAGCCTTCCAAAGGAGTGTAGTTCCGGCCTTTCGATGGGGGATCACCAAACCACAGTTTATCGAGTTTCTCAACGTCGTGCGCGCGTATCAGAAGAAGGGGTTGCTGTTCAACATTGAGTCGCCATCTCCGTTGCTATCTAGCAGAGACAAGTCGTTGCAGAGACGCGTTAGCTTTGCGGATGGGATACCCTCAGCGAGAACGAGCCAGTGCCACTACAGCGACGCCAAGTTCAATGACCCCAATGTGGGCCCTTCTATCTACCAGATCAACCACCAAATCATTAAGCCACTCACCAAGGGAATGCAATTAGACGACAACTCGTACCGTCAGAGACTATCGGGATGGGATTGGGACAAGTTGGCGGCCAAGGGTGCACAACCCAAGTCCAGTTGGGCCCTCATGAAGAATCCCGAAGGAGTCAATATCGATCTCTTTGTCTCCCATGCGTGGGCCGAAGGAATCTTTGAATTTGCCAATCATTTGCTCAACGAATGGCCCGATGACTGCCATGCCGCCTACATTTGCTTCCTTTCCAATCCGCAAAATCTAGACACGGACTTGTACCTGGGTAGCCCTGGTTGTCTCGAAGAGTATGCCTTTTACCAGGCTATACAGAGCCAGCACTTGAAGCGAATGGTCATGATTTCTACCCCTAATCTACCCATTCACAGGAGAGCTTGGTGTTGTTATGAGGCATACCTAGCGTTGCAACGAGATCTTCCCGTCACTATTGGTGGCGACAAGAAATACTTGGCGACCATGGTCCGAGAATACCGAAAAACCAAGAAACTCGAGAAAAACGTACGACACGTGGCGCGACACCGCAATCTCAATTCCTCCATTCGCCTCCTGCTCGACGCCGTCGAGTTTGTCTCCAAGTGGTTGGTCGAGCTCGTGACTATTCTCGCTATTTGCCTCGCGGTGACGGTCCTCTTTCCCGTCACCGTCGCGGCATGCTTCTTGACCCCCATTATTCTCCTCGAAGATCGTCTGCCAACCCTGGTCAAGATTTTCGTGGCGGCGCCCTGCAAGGCATTGTATTTTGCCTTTTGTGGGTCTCTCCGTTTCGCCATTGAATGGCTGTATTCCAACCCGTTCTTGAAGGCAGCCGCGGGCTTGGTGTATTTTGTCTTCTTTCCTCTCATATTTCTGCTCCAATTCCTGTGGGCGCAAGCATCGGGATTGGTGGTTGCCGTCGATGAGGCCATCCAAAAACGAGTGGAAGAACAAGAGCTGAATGAAATCATTCGAATTGATGTCGATGTGGGGCTAGCTCAAGCCAGTACGGAGAGCGATCGCAAGGCAATTTTGAGCGCCATCGGAGAGGATGTAAAGCTGGTCAACAGTATGCTCACCAAGCTCATCTTGGGGGAAGCCAAGAACAAGATCCGAGGCGCACAGTGCGCTGTACAGTGAGAGAGGAGTCAATTCGCTCCTCGGTTCAAGATGTTTTATACAAGAGTTGTAGTTTAGTTGTAAGATTCATGTTGTAAAATTGACGTTCATTCGACCGACCCCTTTTAATTCATCGACAGTCTGGTTTACCGTAATTTGGCTTCTTGACTGGGGAAGATACGTAGACTAGTGTTGTCGCCCCATTAGCAAACAGGACGCTCCCCCACCCGTAATCTCTTCATAGGCTACGAGCAGAAACGGAGATTTCGAACCTATTAACACAAGAAATCAGGGACCACCAAGTCATCAGAGGGCAAATCCTTTGGACTACGTACAGTATTCAGCACAACAAGATACGAACGCCGTCGAGCCAAAATAGACTACGTGCATCAAATCCTATTGCAAAGTTCACTACGTTTCCAGAATTTAGGAACTGGCTGGCTACGTACGAATTATGAATGTCGTGTTATCGTGTATGCATCTATCCTACATGTACAGGCACCACCAATAGCTTGCTATTGAGCATCAAACCAGCGTCACGTTTGCTTTTGAAATCGGAGGCGCCTGTCTGTTCGGTGCAGCGGTGTGTCTTGGGTCGTTGCTTCCTGCTCTGATGTAATATGCATTGATTGATTGCCTTGAAGTAGAGCGTTCTTCACTCACGCAGCCATGGTTCGTAAACCAGTGGTGGTTTCAGCCACAAAGAGTGGCTGATAAGTGGTCAACGTGGCCGCCTTTTGAAAGTACTGATCCCCACGATTGTCATCTTTCTTCTTGTACAAGAGACAGCCCATGGCTCGGTAGAGACGGCGCAGCACATCTTGATTGTCCTCATTGTTGTCTATGGTACCACTGCCCTTGCCCAAACCATTTTCTCTGGCTTCAATGATTTTGAGATATTCCTTTTCCGCCCCTTTGAAATCTCCCTTGCTGAATAGAATATCCGCCATTTGTTCTTGAATGGCAAGGGTGGTTAGTACCTCATCGTCGTCATTCGTAGAATCCAACAGTGGCTTGAGAGCTGTCAAAGCTCCGTCAAAGTCTCCCTGACTTGTCAATAGGTGCGCCATGTCCTGATTGAGACTTGCCAATTCCTTTCGAGACACAGCATCATCATCCTTCTTCGTGGTGCTAGCAGTAACGGCCAAATCAATGGCCTTTTGAATAGCCACTTGCGCCTTTTCGTGTTGGAAAAAGTGTCGGAACTGGACGCGAGCAACCGACCGATAGAGCTGTATCATGTCTCTTGTAGTAGGAGAGTCGCGTGGTGAAACCTCGTCGTCAATCTCCATATCGTCGTCCGTCTGCTTGGATGGCGAGCTTTCGTGGTATTCCAAGGCGAGTCGATAGTTGCGAAGAGCACCTCTTGGATTCCCTTGTTGCTCGTGGAGTCGACCCAAGTCTTCGTAGGAACGAGCAATGGCCGCCAACTCGTTGGCTGGTTCTCCGTCTTTACTCACAACCACACTGCTGTAGTTCAACAGGACTTCCAGCGATTTCTGCTGCAACTCCAGAGTGGCCTCCAAATCCGTGTCATCCATACTATCATCATGCTCCTGATCATCATCAAACTCTTCAAAAGAAGACGACATGGTCAACAACAAAGATGATGAAATACTGTGTAACAAATGAAGGAAGGAGTGACGTTTGTCTTTAGAGGACTATTGCAAATGAGAGATTACAGTTTATGTGGTCCTATTGTTCTACCGGTTGGTGATGGGTGGGCATGGACTCGACTCCATTGGCCGAGTGCAACGTGGTGTAGTTTTGCTCATAATATTTGCTGTATGCGCGGTACCAGAGACCACTTCTGTAAGCAGTGAGAGGTTAGAGGTGACAAAGCATAATGGTGATGTGGGTTGATGATCAGGGGAAGTTATCAATGAGTTAGGGATGTGTGTCTGAGCTGTGTTTGACTGCGTGATGTGTGGGAGATGGCCTCCAAGTCTGGTCTTGGGCACGTGGGCACCATGTCGGATGGCTGGGAGTGGTTGGAAACTTTCCCTTCCAAACGTTTCACCGTTCCTTTTAGAAGCTCTGCTGTTTTATTTGTTCGAAGTCCGCGACAAAGTCGACCGAGTGCAGTCGCAGGTAAAGCCCATGGAAGGTGTTTCACTTGCTTGTCTGAACGCCACCATGGCATCAGCAGCTCACCTACTCGTACATTGTACGGGCTAGATTGAACGATACCGAGCATCTCGGCTATGCATCAGTTCGTGTCGCCCAGGCGGTGTTTACATCCCAAACTGACTGACTGGCAAGCTTACCTTTAACAGACTTTATGGGGGGGTAAGGCAGCAGCGCGGGGGAGGGAAAGAAAAAAAGAAAGGGAGAGGGTTATCAGTTGGATTCCCGATTCCGAATCAGAGAGCCAGCCAACCAACCGTTGAAGTGGCCCAGAAGGTCATACATGAGGGGATATGCAGAAACGAGGTCATTCCCCCATGGTCCTCTATATAATTCATGTCCGAAGAACAGACTTTACGTCATCAAATACGTCGAGGGAGAGGTTCGTTGATGTCTTGCTTCTCAAATTCAAAATAGATCAACGGACACCCTGTCTTGCTCTTTCCCAATCCTTGGCTCCAACCAAACCATCCCATTCTTTCGAAAATTGCACCGAACACTTACTTGGATCGGTGCCGAAATATCGATCTGTTGTTGTTGTCGACAGGTAAGAAAATGGCGACAATGATGTTGTTGCCGCTATCTGCTAGTACCATTACTGTTATCTAACGTATCTGCCGTCGTTCTATCCAACAACAGGCAGCGAGCTTCGATAGCCAACAAGAAGTTAACAGCAAGCTTCGGTAGCTACCGACGCTCCGCTCCTTCCTCTACGGACGACTACCACTCCTTCCTCTACCGACGCTCCTTCGTCTACCGATACAACAACAACAACTACTACTTTTTTGTCTTGAAGTCAGCGACTACGTGGGTAGGGGCAAGACTCTTGGCAACAACAACAACTACTACTACTCCGACTTCCTCTACGGATACCGACCGACTACCTCTATCCCCCACCGAACGTCCTCTACCGAACGTCGTCAAACAACAACGTGACAATGAGGATCGCAACTACTCCTGGCTTCTCAAAGTGGCTGGTGCAACGTCATTCCTACCCATTCAATGAGCTGAGAGTTACAAGGCATGGATTCACCTGCAAGTATGTCATTTGTGGGTACAACAGCGACGAGGAGGATAACTTCTGTTTGCCCACAACAAGCATGGAAGTGACGGTTCTCGAGGAGTTGATATTGCAAGGAGCAGGCAAGCCTCTTCCTCCTGATATGACAGGCATCATGGATTACATGTTTGAGTCTGGGGTTCAGAAGAGTCAAAAATGGTACAATGCTGTTGTCTCCTCCCTTTATGAAATGCTGGAGGGACCAGATCCTTGTGACAGGAAGGACATCTTTATTGAGTGCATGTATTGGTTGGTGAAGGAAAGGGTCCAAGAGCGTATGACTTTGCTCTGTGAATGAAGGACAGATATGTGTATGCTGCGTGGCATGGGTATTTCAGTCCAGTGGTACCAAGCCAAGTTTCCTTCAAGGAGTTCAGTATGATGACTGAGGAGTTTGTGACTTTGTCATTGATGACATTGAGTCTTCTGGAGGCCTGCGACCCCAGCTTGCTATGTTCATTGATGGAATTGAAATGTAAGTTAATATCTAGATTACAATGATGCAACAATGCTACCCATTCTGCTGACCATATCAACTGTATTGAGACCGGCAATAGGCGTCATGTGGTGGTCTTCCTCTCCTGTTGGTCAACCACTGGCAGTAGCGCTGACAGCAGGCATTTGGTGGAGGACGTGGCTGGAAAGAGCTGGCAGTATTGGTTGGAATTGCTGCTGCAATAAGGCAAGTTGCATATTTGAATTGGTGTTGTTGCTGATAGAGTATCAGGTTACCAATGTAAGAATTTCTTGTTTGTGCTACAGGAGGAGCGCTTGTGGAGGTGGATTTGGTGGTGGAGGTTGGAGCTGTGGAACGGTTGTGGTTGTTGGTTGTGGTTGTGGTTGTGCGCGTTGTGGTTGTGGTTGTGGACGGTTGTGGTTGTGGAACCGGTTGTGGTTGTGAGCTTCAACTGGACTGGTGCACAATTACACAAGCAACAATATTTGGTGAGTACTTCTGCTGTGAGGTTTGAATCCAACAATGTACTCTGAAATAATCTTTCTCCATTATCTTCTGGCAGTGGTTCTGCATTTGGAATATGGTGCATCCAGACCAAAGCCTCTGCCATGTCATTCAGGTAAGCAACTCTGAATGGTTCCAGTAGGACAACCTTTCTCCCATCCAGCTGGAATTGCTTCCTTTCTGCCTCGCTGATTCTTGACAGGAAGGCTCTTTTGTGGCGAATCTTGAGTTGTATCTAGCAGTGCCAGAAGGTTGAGTGCATCAGCAAGGGTTCTTTCATTCCACATTGCCAAAGTGGGCAAACTTGTCATGGAAAGCTTCTAACTTGGATTCTCCTCTCCTTGAAGGTCTCTGGAGCTTGTGCTTGGAGTTGGGAGATGGCTGGATTGTATCATACATTTGCTCCATTGGTAGTGGATAGCCAAGTGGATTGCATTTTCAATGCAGTTGTCTACGCTGGTTTGGTTCTGGAGTGAACAAGGTAAAGTTCTTGACTGGATCCAGTCTTCCTGTCCTTGGTGGCTCTATCACTGGCTGTCACCTTGTACCTGCAGAACCACTGTTGTAGCCTTTGCCTCATTGTTTCTGGCTCTCTCATCTTCTTCCTTAGAACTTGGAGTATCTGTACGGAGACCTTGGATGATTGCATGTCCGAGATCTCCACCATGGAATAGTTTGCCATAGGAAAGACCATGTTTAGAGCATAGAGAACCTTCTCAAAGTCTTGTGGTAAGTACTCATAGAGGCAATCCAAGAGAGTTCAAAGCTTGAAGTGGTATTGTCCCTTTCTCAAAGTTGACAGTATTCTCTTCTCATAATGAAACAGGCCAAGTCTTCCCCCAAACCTGGAAAGGCCCTCCCAGTAGTCATCCTTGTTGGGCCAGGTGTCACTATACATGACAGCTTGGATTGAAGTTGGGTCTCCTTGCTAGCTGCATTGCTGCATGGGAGAAGTGGATGGTCTTTGTTGTGGGAACAAGGACTGCAGAAGCTATCTCTCCAGTTTCAGTGGCAGCATCCCAAACAGCCACTGCTCCAACCTCTCTCTTCATGTAGTTCTTGACTGGTTGGAAAGTGTGGTCCTGACAGAAGATACCCTTGTTGGCAGCTGACACTTTGGATCTCCCTTGTGTGCCTGGCATTGTCACTGATCTCCTTGGGTTTCTGTTGGATGCAGCAGCCCTATCAAAGAAGTCACGGATTGTCTCACCAAGAGGAGGGTATTGTCTGATGTAAGTTCATCCTTTGGAAGGAAGGGAGGAGGTTCCCTCTCATTACCTTGCCAGTAAGAATAGTAGACATCATTGACCTGATATACTCTCTGTTGATTGCATTGTAGTTAGGCGGCTGCATAGGTCCCATTTGCCATAGGTAACCATGATAGATCAAAAGTTCTGTTGCCTCTCTTCCAATGATGTCTCTTAGCAAAGCTATTGGACTAACTGGATCAACAAGGAAACATGTGGGGATTGACACCAATACCTCTGATGGTGGTTGGCATTCAAACCTCTTTTGCAGCAGTAACAGACCATTTTCTGAACCATACCCAAGTGGATGTCCAGCAATGCCAAGACTTGGAACCAGGTCTTGTTCTGGGCGTTGCTTCTTTCATTCTTGAGTTTGCCAGAGCATCTTCCATCAGGGACAGGTGACATGTATTCCAATCTATTCCAGTCCACCAAGAGTTTCTGGCCAAACAATAGAGTGGTAGTGAGAGACTCGAATTGCTTTCGTTGGATGGAACTGTATGGTGAGTCCTTCGAAGAGTTCCTTGAATGGCTCTGGTTCTTCTGATGTTGACCTTGGTAATGGATTTCTGACACTGCTTCTGCCATATCTATCATTGCCAGTGGTGCTATTTTGTTCTTTGCTTTTCCACAAAGGTGGAATCCTCAACAGAGCTGTGACTTTCTCCGCAGCAACACAGCTGGCGGTGCCGCCATTACTTGGCTTTTGCTCTTCGGTTGCTGTGGCTGTGGTTTGGCTGTGTTGGTTCTAGGAGCAAAGAATGCTTCTCATTTTCTCTTGTGCTGAGTGCTCCAGTTCCTCTCTCATTCAGTGGAAGAGGAGCGCTGAATTGCCTGGTGAGTCTCCTGCTTTCCTTGATTGTCTCCATTGTCAGCGCATTCAAAGGTCCTTGTCCTTTTGTTATTGTATTCTTAATACAGAAGACAGAGTGTGATCTCTTGGGGACTCTGAGCCCGTAATGTCTGGCCTTACAGATGACACAGTTCTTGAGTGGATCAAAGACTTCTGCTATCCCTCCTTCCAGTGCTGTTTGCGGTCCTTCTTCTCTCGCTCTCTTTGATGATCTTGGGTTGTTGTTGTTGGCGAGTTGGAATGCTCTCTTCTGTTGTGGATTTCGATTCTGACTCTGGCAGCCCATCCCTTCATTTTGTGTTGTTGCTGCTGCTGCTGTTGGTGGCTCCATGGTCCTCTTTTGCTGCTGCTGCTACTCGCTTTTTGGCCAAGATAATGACTGTCGAGTGGCTCTCCGGTGGTTGTTGTCATTGTCGAACGAACGGAGGAATCCAACGAACGGAGGAATCTTCTTCCTCTCCGAAAACAACAACGAATTTTCGAACTCGATAGCACATTTGCTCTGTAATAACTATAAATGGTACGTTAAGTATATTTGAATACTTCCTGACGTATTCGTTGTTCTTCGGTACTCATCGATACTCATCGACCAATCAGATTTCTGCCTTTCACCCCTTTTCCGCCTTAACACAGGCAGAAAGACCGTGACGTCTTTTGGTGGGCCGGGATTACAATTTGACAAACCCATTTGCCTCACAAAACTGCTCTCTTCAACAGAACAACAAGATTGATTGCAAGAAGAATGTCGTGTAAGCTGTTATCCGTGTGCCAGGACAATAGACTCTGCGACAGCAGGTGGACAACTCTCGTCGTGTCCCTCGCCCTTGCGACCCTCGCCGGTCAAAACTGGCTGTGGCTTTGGTTTGCTGCCGTTTGGGTCTACTATAACTACTACGTCATGGAAGAAGCCAGATAGAAGAAGAATACAACGCTGACTCGGACGCGGACAGTTCGTTGAGGCTGTCTTTCAATGGGGAAGTGTGCTGATGCGTTTCAGACCTGACCCCGACTCGACTCGCATAGCCTGAAAGCTGACATGGAGATCATGAAGCAGAAAACGCTTGGACCAAACGGCAATGAGATCGTGGCGGACCACTAATAACAGAGCTAGCCAGATTGTTACGCTGAACGCCTCTCCGTACAACAAGTTGCCTTTCGTAACGTGAATGAAATTTTGGCAACTGCTTCCATGTGGCTGCTGATGCTACTCCCTCAGCTTGTTGTCCCAACGGGTGGCTCACGGGTGACTACATCGTAGCAGCCAGCTACCGGTGCCTTCCACCTGCGCTCTTTTAGAGCTCTGACTAGAATGCTACCATAATTTCTGGTCAACACGGCAAATCTACACTCGACAATCTCACAACTCTTTTGTTTCAGTTTGCTGATTTGCTCAATCTACCATCCTTCTCAATATACCGATACCGGTAAGCCCATCTGTCAGCGTTCTTCCGTGAGCTTGGTGGCAACGGCCTTGTGTAGCGGTACGCCAACCGGTGATCTTGCTGTTGGCGCAAACTGCTTTACTCACACAGCGAACATCTTCTTGCTGGCTCTTTGCTGCCAACGTTTGCCAGCACACCATTGCCATTTCAAAAATCACAACATGTCTTCAGCCAACAAGCGCAAGAGGGATCCAGCGGATGAGTTGATTTGTCCAATCAGTTTGGAGTTGCCTTGGGACCCTGTGACAGCGGAGGATGGTCGTGTCTATGAGCGAATTTCCATTGAGACCCATATCAAGAATCACCCCAGAGGTCTCAAATCACCAATCACCAACAAAAAGATGGGCAAGAAGCTGGTTCCTGCCATCCAGCACCGCAACATGACCGACATATTGGTGGAGGATGGTGTCATTCTTGGGGATTTGGCTGCCAAGTGGAAGGAAAAAGTGAACCAGAAGAAAGAAATGGAAGAGTTGTTGAAAAAGGCAGATGCAGGTGGTGCTTGTGCCATGTATAACTTAGGAGTGAACTACGAAAATGGCTACGATGGTTTCAATGAAGATGAGAAACTTGCATTTCAGTGGTACAGTAGGGCACACAAAGCTGGGAATGTGCGCGGAACATCATCGGTAGGGATGCATTTGTTGAATGGTTGGGGAGTTGCAAAGAATGAAAAGCTTGGACTTGTCCATTTGTCTAGTGCTGCAGGCCAAGGGTCAAACTATGCAGCAAAATGGTTGGGAGTGGCATTTGCCAATGGAGAGTATGGCTTGAGTGTGGATAAGGCAATGGCCATCTCCTGGCTAGAAAAGGCTGTTGGGGACTGTCCAGAGGGACCGTTGACCGATGAAAGCATCCAGGATGCCCAACAGGAGTTAGATGAGCTCAAATCTTCATAGCAAACCCTTGACGACACCAAGCAACGAACGCACCATTCTTCTCTCCCCGTATGCAGTTTGAAAAGGCAGAGCAGCCATTATACAGCAAGTGATTGGCGGTTTGGGGTACCAGTAACCTAATATCATTTGCCCGTCACCGTGAAGTTTGTCTTGACTTCATCCATTTTTTTACTCTTTGGTTGGTTGCTACGGTACGCTGTACAGTTTGTCGTGACGATGCTTCTATCGCACCGGTACGCAGTAGAATGACATCATGTCCGGTCAGTACTACTTGTGATAAATAGAACTATGGCAGTATGTAGAGTGTATGCAAGCAGCATCAACTAGGACTATCTTCTCCTGGGCAGTTCGTTGCGAATTGTTCTACTCACTTTCAGAAAAGAGCGTTTTGCGAAACATTCTCTTGGAGGTGTTGTTTCTAGCTAGTAGTAATGTTGATTGCTAGCTAGCTAGTAGGGAAAAGAGCCACAAGTGACAATATGCTCCCCTTGATATGATACAATAGCGCACCAGCCACGATAGCCAAACGCAGCAATCCAATTTTCCCTTTTTGTCATTTTTTGTCGAACCGTTGTGAATAGCAAATTTGTCGTCGCATGATGAGCGTGTCGTGTCATGTAGTGTCCGATTGTCACGTTGTAATTGATTTCTAATTGTCTTGTTGTTGTTCTTCCGTGTCATCATCGCTATTGTTGCTGTTGTTGTTGTTTTTGACGAGCAGACAATCCAAAATGGATTCTTCAATGTAGTACTTGTCCATCATGAATTTTTTGTATTCGTCAAAACTCTTCCACGACTCTCGTTGCTTCAATTCCAATACGCACGTATCGTAGAGTTCTTCCATGGACACGACAATTTTCCAATGGCCACCGTCTTTGTTGCACATGAGACGATCTTTGCCACCGTCCGTTGCCTTTTCGACTTTCCAATGTTTTTCCAATTCTTCCAACGAAGGAAGTCCCAAGCCTTGAAACGGATTTGACGTCGTTTGTTCTTCTTCTTCTTGCTGTGCTGCTTGCAGTTGTTGTTGCTGGTCGAATTTGTGAATCGCATTCACGCCCACTCCAATCTCGTGACGACTGCGACGACGGCCTTTGCGTTTGTTGTTGTTGCCATTGTTGTTGTTACTGTTGCGACTAGACATGGTTCTTGTGCGGTCTTGAGGATGGAATTGTATGGAGAGGAGAGGAGAGGAGAGAAGAGATCAAGTGTTCAGGATGGTGTCCACGCTGATGTTGTCTTGGAGAGAAGCTGTGAGGAGGAAAACTGTGACAGCTGTCGCTGTTGCCACTTGCCAGGTTTGTGCCGTTGCGTTGCGTTGCGTTGCGTTGCGTTGCCGCTGTTCGGTTCGGTGAAGTGTTGTGTTCGAAAGAGTCTGAGTCGCATCGAATTTAAATTCCACTCAGTATCGATTTATTCGAACATCAGTATCAATCGAATTGATTCTTTTCGAATGATGAATCGAATTTGTATCTTTTCTTTCGACAAAGATCCAAAGCATTCATCATCATCATCAAATCAACGTCAAAGAACCCACGAGAAAGCTTTCTTGTCACTTTCATCTGGAATCTGGATCCAAAAATCCATCTTGACCCATCTCCTCTCGTCTCTTCTATTGTTTGATAGATACTGAGTACTAGTAAAATCATGACTGGCAGCAAATTGATTGTGGACAAGGCCCTCCGTGCCGCGACGCATTTGGGTTCGGCCAAGCTGCCCTCGGAATTGCTGGCCAAAACCGGTGCTACTGCCTGGTTGTCGAGTGCCGCCGCCGGTGGTGTGGCGACGTTGCCCGATTTGCCGTACGACTACAATGCCTTGGAACCTGCCATTTCGGCGGAAACCATGACATTGCATCACTCCAAGCATCACAATACGTACGTCACCAACCTCAATGTCGCCATGGAAAAACTCGATGCCGCCGTCACGGCCGGAGACGCTTCGGCCATTATTGGACTCCAAGGCGCTCTCAAATTCAACGGCGGTGGACATATTAATCACACGCTCTTTTGGGAAAATCTCGGTCC